ATGGAGATTTCTTTGGTACTAATCAGCAAGCATTTCACGGCAGCAGTCGCCGCTGTTGACTTGGATTACATTTGTTACTTGTGTTGTTGTGTCAGCGTTTTTTTATTTCTAGTTTTTTTTTTTTTGGTTGGCTGGTGCCCATTTCAGTTGATGATTCATGCGATTTTGAGCTCTTGAGCGTCTCTGAGCTAAGTGCTCTGACTTTGGTTCGGCTGCAGCTGTGCATGGTCGCAAAGTTACGCTGGCATTTGTTTTGTGCGTCTTCGCACCGCATTGCCGCGTGGCTGTTGCTCTGCTGTTGATTTTCCTAAGGCAACAACTCAAAACTTAACGCAGAAAAGCACACAGACAACGCACTGACAATTATTGCTTTTTGTGCGAGCGGAAATTTATGGTTTTTTATACTTTGTCATTTGACTGGACTCGTTACTATTTCAAAACGACTTTTTCGTTTGTTATTCCCCCTCCCCTCATTATACGATTTGTCCATGACAGAGGTTTCTGTTTTCCCCACATCAAGTTTGCATCGCCAATCTTTTGGGAGATTCCGTAAAATATCTGTCGATTCCGAGAGCAAGACATCACCTTGGCATTTAATGAATGCTGTACGATTGTTTGAAAGTGTTGCTATGTATGTAGGCACTTAACTGGTATGTCGTTTGAAGTAAATATACTTTTTGGTAAGTGCAAATGGAAAAGGCAAGTAGTTAGTTGAAACTGTGCACAAGGCATATAAGCGATTAAAGCGAAATAGCGGCAGTGCCCATTTCCTTGTTTCGAAAAGATGACTTTATTTTTTTGTTGTTTGTTGTGTTGAGGAAACCTAAATGGAGGTAGATTCGACGTTTCTGTATTTTGTTATTATTTTTAGGTATTGATTCGTTGCACCTTTTCATGTGGGGAAAGTTACATTTACGTGAAAAAACTGAAGGCAAGTCGAATTTTGTTTAATCGTAGCAATATTTTTTAGCAGGAGTCAACTAGTCTGAAACCAAAAGGAGTTCTCTAATTTCCTACAATAAAGCCTTTATTCTACCTTTTTCCTAATAAGAAACTCCATTGCAAGTTTGTACGAAGTGATTCTCTTTTATGGCCTTAATCTTATGTGTACATAAGTAGGCAAATATGTTTTCTTTACACCCCATTTAAGGCTGAACTACTATACTTCTAAGATGTATAGAGTTATATGTCATTAGAATGGTATTTTGATGCTGATGTGCATAGAATCCAGAAAAAGATGAAACTGAAGAATGAGGTATGTTATGTTACGTTATGTTACGTTATGTTATGTTACGTTATGTTATGTTATGTTATGTTATGTTATGTTATGTTATGTTATGTTATGTAATTTTACGCTACATTATATAAAGTTACGTTATGTTATGTTACGTTAAATTATGTTATGTTACGTTGTGTCATGTTATGTTACGTTACGTTATGTTACGTTATGTTACGTTATGTTATGTTATGTTACGTTATGTTATTTTATGCTACATTATATAATGTTATGCTATCTCATACTTTATGTTATGTTATAGTATGTTATATTTTGTGGTGTGATGTTATGTTACGTAAAGTTTATTATGTTATGTTATGTTTTATTATGATATGTACTTAGTTCACTTCGCGCAACGGAATACCATTTCATCAAGTAATTGAGAATAGCTTCAAATTATTTTAAGAATAAGCCAAGTTATCAAATTTAAGTTACAAGAATCACATGCTAAATGTGGATTAAATTCGTATCGCTCAGTAGGCGGCTTTTTATAAAGTGACCTACCACTCTATGATTACATATTCAGCTATAAATGCCTTGAAGAGACAATGGAAGTATATTGGAAACCTTGCGCAACACTTCTTAAAATTATTATTTTTTCTAATTTCAGCAGCAAAACGTAACTCTAAGTATTATGCAATGCCACAAACAAAGTACTTAGATAATAACGTCAATCAAACGTTTCCTCTTTTAAGCAAAAAAAGCCATCGACAAAAGTTGACATGTTCTTATAGTTGCTTTAATGAGCGCTTCTCGATGTTAAGCAATATTTCCATGTATTTATGTATTTATGTAATATGCACTTGGATACAAAACGCCTGCAATACCACAATAATAAGTAATCAAATTTAGGAAAAGTATATTGCATAATTTAGTTAAGTAACGCAGCCAGCAAAACATACACACACAAAAACAAAAATGTACATAGGCGACATCACCTTGGCGACGTCTAGCCGTGGTTCATCGGTCATTCGCGGTTCATTGGGAACTTCATAACTCATTTACTGCTTTATAGTATTGTCAACCTTTCAAAGCCGCAACTATTTATGCATAATTAGCACACATACACATACCAATGCATACGAACAAATGATTCACTTGTGCTGGTTAAAATAAAATAAAAACAAATATTAACCATAGCTAAGTATTTAAACAAAAAAATGTAAAACAGTAGCCAAAAACGCTGAAGCGGATAAACAGATTGATTGTATCCATTTTTTTGTCTGTCCAATTTCAACCTCATCTGCTTTTTTCTTTTTTGTTGGTGTTTGTACGAAGTTCACTCAATACAGCGATAATATCGAACGATGCACGCTTAATTGCTGCTGTGCGACGCATCCGCTCAAGTTTTTTTGTACAGTTTTTTTAATTTTTTATTATTATTTCTTTCTTAGCTGTACAGCTGGGCGACCATCGCATCTTTATAATTACAAGCGTTGGCCGTTAAGCAACTCCCAAATATTAATCAAAATATGAGTGTTTTTTTTTTTGAAAAATCTTTTGAATCGTAAGACAGAAAGACTTAAAATTGTATGGGCAGCTGGTCATTTACACATCTACATGGTAATGTATGTGCGTTTAAGGCACACGTTTTTTTTTTTCATTTTCTCGCATATGCTCATGCAGGAACAAAAGAAATTAAGTACCTTTTGACACGGCGATTGCTACTGGAAGTGGCACCATTTCGTACAGTGTGCCGAGTCCGAAATTTATTTTTTGAATATGCAAATTTTGATGCTAATTTAAGTTAAATAAAACTGCTACCAATTTAACAAATTTCATATTTTATGACTAAGTCATTATTTTTGCGAAAGAAGATACACATTTCATGCCTCGATTTACCACAATGAAGCCTTGGACTAGTTGTGGCTCAATGACTCTTCAGTTTTATTACTGCAAGGTTTTACTATTCTATGGTACTCGTATAAATCCAAGTTCTTACTTCCCATGTTTGTATGTATTCCCATATTAGACCATCGAATCTACCTGCTTCTCAAAAGGGTTAATATTGCAATAAGTAAAGAATTACTGGGAGGCATCCTGGGGTTCTTAATCTGAAATGATTTATCTAGGTAAATATATACTTTCATAGAGCGTATCCGACTGGTCACCTCTCGGAATACAATCACTTTACTATGTTCGGCAACACCATCTGCCCTCCCTGTCTAGCTCAGTTCACAATTTTACGGAGCAATATTTTTAGTTTGTTATAATTTTTACCCTATAACAAAGTTGCTTTTTTACTAAGTTTATAAGACGAAGGACTGTGCAACTGCGTCCTACAAAATTTTTTAATTAGCTTAAAAAATAAAAATAATTAGAATACCGATTTCAATACCTATGACCCAGAATATTTAATAATTTTTAAATTCGGAGGAGTTTTCTCTTTAATTTGGTGCCCAAAATGTTATCCTACATATATTGCACTGAGCCTTTTAAATAGTTTTTGAACAAATCATATCTTTGAAATTTCAAAATTATTTATTTTTGTTTTTTAACAACATGAAATTTAAAATTTTTTAAATTAAAATCTTTTAGTGAAAGTATCAAAGATACATAAGTTGAAAGATTTTTTGAAACTTTAAGACTCATTTGGCGACAGTAAATAGTATCCGATTGCAAAACGATTTAATACCATTCAAAGTGATCATGTTATGCAACTTTTCGGCGCTATTATAATTTCGAAATTGAAAAACGTTTATTTTTTCGCTTCACCTTAATGTAAAGTTTGCCATCCCATCTTCGCTCCCTCCAACGGGGCCACAGATATTCGTCCATATTTCTGTGTCATATAGAAGAACGGGCATGACGAGAGATCTGGGGCATTAAAATTTGTTTAATGGAGTAGCTCACAATAAATTAAAAAAAAATCGAAATCTCTGAATATTTAAGAAAAGTCCCGAAACAATTAAGAAGGGATGGTAGAATCTAGAAAATGTTCTATTTTTTTTTTACCGAAGCCCGTTAAGCAAATAGAATGATTACAAATATAATATCAAACAAAAAATTATAAACCTTTATATAAAAAAAAATGTATTTATTTTATCGGATTCATAATTTTAAAAAATTTATTTAGTCCATTAAGCATGCATTATTTTTATACCCGTAGTATTTATTATTTTATGTGTGTCTGCCTGAATTTAATTTCCTACTCCACTGTGTTCGCTGCCTCTTGATTTTTATATACATATTTTTAACGTTTTGTTTTTGTATATAAAAAAGCGGTTTCTTAATCGTCAAATCGCAATCATCTTATAATTTTCGTATTCAAGAGCTGCTTATGAAGGCGCCTCACCAACGCCACCAACACAAAACAGCGCACCACCGCATTTGCTTTTTTTACTCTTCCCCATTACTATCCTTTCTGTCTGTGGCTTCAATAATAATAATTCATCACTGCACATTTGCTATGCCACCATTCATTACATGTTTGTCTGCATTTTTGTAATTTCTCACCCTTCTCCTACTACTTCAGATTTTTGTGTGTTTTCTGTTTGTCGTTTTTATTTCGCTCTTGCGGCAAACACTTCGCGAACGAAGCACATCAAAACAAAAACCAAAAACTTAAGCAGCGAACTTGCTTGAGCGACAAGTTCGCCGCTGAGTTTTGCTGCAAAACTACAAAGCGCACGTTTTGGTACAGCGTAGCTATCTGTTAGCCATCACAAGCGCTTGCCTGCTGCCATTCAGCTGTGTTCGAATTCAGACTTCTTTGAGATTTCGACTCAAGAAGGTCGTCCACAATTTACGTATCAGTGGGATTTTCACGCGTCACGCGTTTCGAACGATTTTGGTCTCTCCTAAATATTACTCGCTACTGGGTATTTCGAGTGTTTCACTCGTTTTACGGCAGCTAGCGCGCGCGGCAAAAACGTCGATTTGGCAACATTGTGTACCGCTGCATTTCGTATTCGCCGTCAACGTCGTCGGAGACAGCGACTGCGCTAGCGCAACTGAATTGTCAGTTGAGCGCTACAGTATTTTGGTTTTTTACCGTTAGCTCAAGCGGCATTCGATTTTATTAACGTCTTTACACTCGTGGAGTACGCGCGCGTGCATCTCTGCTTCAGCTTAGCGGTAATAAATGGATACTATATGTGCATGGAAATTTACAATGAAATGTAAATTTAATGAGTGTTAACTGAAGTGTATAAAGGACGAAAAAAGGATAAAACTAAAAGAATTTGGAAATGTTTACAAAACTTGAATTTTAATAAATGAATTAATACACTAAATGGTAAAGCTAACAACGGATATAGCAAACTTTTTCACTTTAAGCTCTAAAGTAAGCAAAGTGATGAGTGCCAGAATTTTGCAAACAAAAAAATTAAACTGAAATTTTAGTGCATGTGTTAAATTTGTGCTTGTAATTGAACTTAAAATTTTTAGCGATTCCCAAAATTACATTGTGAATTTTTACACACGCGCGCACGCCAACAACAACGCCTTCACAACCGCCCTCACCACAGCTGCTACAATAACACTTACCGCTTTGCTGCATTAAAACACTGAAAAAAAAACAGTTTCAACTGCCTCAATTTCGTATTGTCGCTATTGCTGTCGTTGATTTTTTTGCCTTTCCGTTTGTTTATTTATTTTTTCTGCAGTGAAAGTGATTTGATTTGATTTCAATTCGGTTGCGTTTGTATGCGTGCAATTTTTTGCCACTACTCAAGTCAACGAAAAAAACAACCAATATACCACCAACCAACCCACGAAGTAACTCACCAAGCGAACAGCCAACTCAGCCAGTACTGTTGGTTTTTATATTTAAGAGTTTCATAAATTTTACTCGAAAAAATTCCGATTTGTTAACAATACCTTCATTTTTCTCCGTTTGTGTTTTACTTTTCTTAATGCCAAACACATACACACACACATATGAATGTACATATATCGGTTGAAAACGGTGCAATCACGTACGAAATTCGGAAATCAGAAATTCAATTGTAATGTAGTGCGAATGATTTACATTCATTTTTACATGATTTTCTTTCCTTTCAATTCCAGTGTTTAGGTAAATTGCAAAAAGTGTCTGAAGAAAGTTGAGAAAAGTGTTGCAGAAACCATTTATGTAAACGTTGTGCAGATTTATTATGGTGTTTAAAGTGTAAATTGCGGATATCGTTTGGAATAACAAGCTGTATATTATTGTACATACATACATACATACTTTTACTTCAACCGCCACCTGCTGCTATCGATATATATACTTTCGTACTTATGTTCGTTAGTAAAAAGGTGAGTGACTGAGACTTTGCGCTATGAGTTAGATAAGAAAAATACCAATTCGTTATGTAAACTTTTATTTTCTGGAATATCAGTGCATTTAATCGCATAGTATTGGTAAAATTCAGCATAAAGCTTCATTGATTACTTAACTTTTTGGAGTTAATGAGCCCAAATGACGTATAAAGTGGAGCAAAATTCATTCAATAGTATGCGTTAATGTTGCAGCGTCAATAAGATCTAAACGATGTCATGATAGCTAAGATGTAAAGTAGTATTGCATATAAGCTCTCATCACTCCACTATAGGCCCTCATAGACCATATCTATTTATCATTTTTTTAGCTTTGATTAGTTTGTCCAGGCTTAGCACTTAATCAATGTATTTAGACTCAATTTATAGCATAGACAAACGGCAATGTTAACCCAGATTAATGCCGACGTTGATCTGATAAAAATTTTTCCCTAATAGACGGTAATATTGCAGATTAGGCGAGTCGCGAGGTCGAAGATTCGAATCCCATGGCCAGCAAACATTTCTTTTATTTCTTTCAGAACTTTCAACTTTTATCTCGAATTTACAAATTGAAAACTTTGCCTCAATTCTGAAATTTAACGAAAACGTTGCTTCATAACAGTTAATAGATGAGAAATATTTTTTACGTTGCTTGATAACAGCTATTGCCCGACGTTTATTTTTACGTTATCTGATAATAGTTATTTCACTCTCTCACTTTTCGTTCATCACCTTTATCTTATTCTCCACCTCCATCTTCATCAATATCCTAATCTTACAACGTTTATCAGACAACATTAAAAATAAACGTTGTACAATAACTCTTATCCAGCAACGTAAAAAATAAACGTTTGGAAATAACTCTTATCTGCAATGGAAAAAATATTTCTCCTGCATAACAGTTATCAGGCAACGTAAAAAATAAATAAAGGTTCGATTCCTGCTGAAGTCTAGAAAAAAGAAGTCTGATGAGGAGATGTGGTGATCTCCGAAATAGTGCTATAACTTCTACCGCTTAGACTTTGTTGCTTTTCAATTTTTCCTAATAAACAATCGTGGTACAAAGCTCAATAAAAATATTAAAAAGTAAAAAATAAACGTTGGGTTATAACTCTTATCGACGAAATAAAAAATATTTCTCTTCTAATAATTGTTATGGAGCAACGTTTTTGCTATAAAACTTATAACTGTTATGTCCCTGATTTATTTTATACTTCAATTTTGGGTGTGTCAAAATTTCATGTGAAAACAATATGTGTTGCATGAAAAATTTTACGGCCAATGGGTCCTAAAGTAAATTCCGTTTTCTGTTAAATGGACAAAGACAATACCATATAATAATAATAATAATAATAATAATAATAATAATAATATACTTTGCATAATTCTTGCACACTTTTGGCATATATTTTGCATATTCATTGTTGCATAAAAGTCAGAGCTCTAACAATATGTATTAAATAACACATCGAAATGTGTAATTTCAGTGTCTGAATTACATCAGAATCATCGTATCCGATATAGAAAACTACATTGTGAAATAATAAGATGACATGAGGACACTAAAAAGATTTTAAAATATGTTCACTAAAATTGTATTAATATTAAAATAATGATTTGGCAAGTTGTTATCGAATTTAATATAAAATTTAAACGTTGTTAAGATAAGATATTGATTATTTTTAAAAGGTATATGTTAATACAACTATATTCTTTATAATCCCAAATTTGGGATATAAAGTCTCCCACACCAAAAAACTTACAACTGGGTAACGCCGCTTCGAATTTTTCAAAATTGAGCAATTGTCAAAAATCTGCTTTTTAACACTCTAGTAGGCTGAACCGCCTCCAGACGGTCGTTAACTAAACACATTTTTAGTGCACCTATAATAATATTTTTCTATGTTCGTAAGGCACGATCTTTAGACAAAAATCGTACCCTTACGGCGAAATAAATTTGAATCCGTTATGTCAATCCGTTTTATTTTAACCGGCAGTTGAATTACGGATTGTGAAGGCACGGTTAAAATTAATTTTTTCTTTCTATTTAGTAACTTCGTAATTAAAGAAATTTTTTCTTTTGAAAAATTTTTTGATTTAAAAAAATTAGGTGGATTTCGTAGATAAAAGCACCGTATTTTGATATAAGTTTTATAATTATATTCGAAATGGAGAAAATTGCTTTCGAACACAGACCGTCTACAGACCGGATTGCCAACATATAAAACCCCAGTTTGCATTTTTGACCGTCTGCAGACGGGATTGCCGGTTCGTAGGTCACCATTGTGTAAGAAAAAGCTGAAAACACGTCAAAGTATATCAGCGAGCTCGTCTCCAGACGGTCTTGGTTTTTCTCCCCTGTAGGAAAAAGTTACTGTCACAGATCGAAATGGACATCATTTTGGATTTCTCGAGCTAAAATCACCCATTCTTGAATTTTTCAACTCATAAAAAATTGGCCTACTAGAGGGTTAATCAAAAAGTTGTTTATTGAAACTACCTTCTTTTTTGTATCATGGTTGCAACTTTTTTCTTAGTAGATTTGATCCATCCTTTGCAATGCCCAGTAATCAGCGGTTGGGCTGCTGAGTTGGGCGAACCTTCCAATAGCTGCTAGTCAATCGCTTGTTTAGTATGGAAAAAGGTTTCACGTGCAAATAGATTTTAACAATTTAGAATTTTGTAAGAATAAATCAAAAATATTTGACATTTTCGATACCAAATAATTATAAAAAAAATCAGTTCAGCTGTTCTATTGATACTACCTGTTCAATGTGCCTTGATACAAACAATGCAAGCAAAAATAGTATGGCAAGTTTTACTCTATCCTTTTATTTCAGAATCTGTCGTCTCAGGTTTATATTCAAATGGTTTCATTAAAAAAATGTTATTATTGCTAAGATTTCTCAGTTCAAGTTCAAGCAAAGGGCTTTCTTTTCTATTTATAAATTAAAATTATAACAGGCCGATGTCTGTAAATTCTAGTATAGACATTAAGGAAAATGTCATATGCGGGGGGAGGGGGTGGTATGTATTAGAGCCTGTATGTTTTTCCGTATGTTTTTACGCGCATCACTCAAAAATTAACGCATAAAATTGATTGTATTGTAAGAGGTGTAGCTTAAGATATAGGCTTCAGTATACCGCAGCATGATACATATAATGAACAGGCATCGATATTTTATTGGTACCTGATTCTCAACTGTCTCTCCAAAAAAAATATAGATGCTTGACTCCGAATTCCACGAAAAAGCCAGTACATAATTTTGCTTTATTGCTCTCCAAATATCTAAGTTTATGCCGTAGCATGGACTTGAGGTTATATCGATCTCCAACTAACTGGTATTTCAAAACTTTAATAACGAAATCTGTAATCATTAAGATTTTTTATTTGGTAGAGAATCCACAAAAAAAAACTTACGTAAATCTTAAAAGCATGATACTTCATAGCGCATCCGCATTCAACTCTTCCATGCTTCTCTTTTTTTCGCTGTACGTAGTTCAGGTTACTATAATCCATTTAAAGTTTCGTCATAACCTAGTCCGTTGAAGATGATAAATGATCCACATGGGTAACACCTTAATGATTAGCTGCACCTAAACGACTGCTGAACTAAATTAAAATGACTAAAAATTATGCATTTAGTTGTGGCCCAAAAAAACTGCAAAATAAGGAGGGCACAAACAAAGCACAAATAATATACTAAATGAAGATAATTAATGCTGGAATAAAAGCAAAAAATATGTAAGTATACACAGATGCGTTGCGCGTGCGTAAATGGCTGAAGAAACTTCACAAAAAAAACAAACAACAAATATGGCACACAAATGAATGAGTGATGTCATATTGCACATATCTGCATAAATAGCCAATGTGAACTAAAAATGCAAACAAACAGACATAATATGTATCTAGAGGCGACTTCCCAAAAGCGCAAGCAAATATTCACCCGCTCATGCAATCACAAACACCTCAAATAAGCGCATTTTTGGCATTTCATTTGTCCCTCGAAGCTTCAGCAAAGTTGCATTGCATAATTTTTATAAAAGCCCTATTACGCATCCCATTAAAAACCCGTATGCGTGCCGAGAAAAAAAAACGGGAAAAATTGAGGCAGTAGTTGAGCATTCAAACTGGATTTCCTCTTTAAAAAAAAAAAATGACAAAATTGCTTAAAAGCGCACTGGTTCGCTACGTAAAAGGGCCAATAAGTCAAGTGCAAACGCGGAAATGCGTGAAGCATAATTGGAGCGCTACCACGCGCAATAATATAAATAAGCTGAGCGCGAAAAAAATTTGTAAATTACAAAAAAATTTTAAATTGCTTTGTTGCTCATCCTGCAAGCAGACTTGTTGGCCCAAAAACAACTCAACCTATTAAAAATTAAAAAAAAAAAACTGTTTTTCTGCTTTAACACCAGCGCCAGCAAACATTTCTTACGAAGAAGACATGAAAGATGTGACTAAAAATAAAAACACCTAAGTAAAGGGAAATTTTTGTTTGGCATCATGACACGCTCTGCACATCCGGGGTATCCTCTCGACGCTTTACGTCACTACTTTTGGTATGTAGTGTTATTTTGCTACTTCACTCCACTTTATGTTAACGCATTTTGTTTTTCAGCACAACATTTTATGTTGAGTGCTTTTTGGTAGTTTTCTTTTTTTTCATTTTTACCGCCTTCTCCATTTTGTATTGATTTCATGGATGTGAAGATGACATCTGGCAACATTTGTAGGCTTGCATGACCTCTTTCTTATGTTTTGCATTTAAATTTTTCGTTTGTTTTGAATTCATTGCGTAAGCAGTGAAATTTTTGCATAAGCTCGACGTTCACCTTGGACCCAATAAGTTGTGTGTGTATTTTTAGCAAATAGCACGTCTGTTAAATAAAAATTGACTTTTATGGGGCTCAATTGGATTTGACGAAGATTTAGTGATCGAATCCATAGTAGTGGAAACAGAAATGCAGTAGATATTATGACACAAATGTTA